GAGTCGAATGTTCTACAAAATGGCTGTCGCTGTCTGTTGGACAACGTCGTCTTTATCACCATCTTGAGCCTCAAAATTCGAAAAAAAATATCGATTGTCTTTTATGATTTAAGTGCGCTTTTTACTCTGTTCTTCGATACAGCGACATTACCGCGAACGACATTAACGTGAATACAGAAGACGACATTACCCTGAACGGCATTACCGCGAATACAAAAAAACGTCATTACCGCGAAGATTATTTAGTAGCGAAGATTTTGTGTATAAGAAAGTCGATAAAAGAAAAAAATTTTCTCTATTATTTGCCTGCGATAATCGTTCTAATACATACGTGTCTTTATGACAACGAAAGCAAACAAACAGATATAATGACAACAGAAAAGAGAAAAAACATAAGTAGTTTGTTCACGTTGATATTATTGGAAAAGAAGAATAAATGAGCCTGGTTTTGTATTTTGTATATCATGTTAACTGACGTTATGTGATGACTAGTCATTATCTGATACAGCCACCGATATCTAGTTTCGCATCACGATAATATGTTTTGTGTAAAAATACTTTTCGAACTCACTCTTTTCTCAACTTTTTTTCTCAACTTGCTGTTGACCGAAATTTTCGGCTTTTCACGGAATGTAATGACTTTTAAATGACAGCTTCAACCCTTAAAACATCATTATTATGTGATTTTCTTGGATTTTGTGGATCATTAAATTTGAATTTCTTGGAAACTGAAGTTGAACTTTGAACTATCCGAGTTTTCAACCCTTTAGTTTAAACCCTTTCGAACTTTTACAGGCGTTCCTTAAAAGCACTAATATTTTCGTGAATGATGATGATCTAAAAAGACAGAAAAAAAATAAAAGCATTAAAGTCTCAAGAAGACGACTTTTCATTGACCATAATGCCCACAATAAAAGCAGAAGTATTTTCCTTGTGGATAAAGAATACTTTTATAATTCAAAAATTGTCATGATAAAGTATCAGGAGTAGTTAAATATTTTATTTTCTCTTAAAATATTTTTTTTCGATAATCAAATTATTAAATAGGTACGAGGATTAGCAATAGGATCATCAATAGGTCCTACTGTTAGCACATTGTATGAAAATATCTAGAGTATGGCATATTTCTTGAATTATAGTATGTTTTTCTCAATGGATCAAGTGAATTATCTTCGATAAAACTGAAAATAATTTCTTTTTAATATGAATTTTTGATAGAAACACGTCATTGATTTGAACATTTATTTAAATTCATTGGATCTCAATATTAAAGTTATTTAAACAAATTATGAACAAAAAATATCATTTCTTAATGTTTCTGTACGTCATAATTTTGGTCACATTCAACCAGATATTTATTATTATAAATCAACTGATTCAATTTAATATGTTCGTTTTAAATCATCACACCCTAGTTCAGTTAAGCGAAATATTCCGTATAATTTAGCATGAAACTATTGATTATTTTCATTCGTTCCTAAGAACAAATGAAAATGACGGGATTGTCAGGAAGGAAACACCGAATGGAAAAACGTTGAAAAGGAAAAATATAGAAAAGGGAAACGCCGAATGGTTGAACACTTACCTGTAGCAGTGAACCTTGCCTCCGTTAATATATAAGATTGTTATATTATATTTTATTTTATTAAAACAAAAATGTATATTTACAAAATACAGGACAAAACTTTTTATGAAATGGCTATTGCCACACCTAAGGGTGTCATTAAGAAGCTATTGCCATCCTATGAAGGTGTCAACTACGGCAATTGTATAGACCCCTCTGGAAGTGTCAATAAGATCTATCGCCATCAGTGAGCAGAGAATCGTGTTTGGTGGTGCGAACAGTTGCAGCTGAAGATACGAGTGCCAAAAACTGTGTTGGTGTTGTTTGAAAGGTCTAAATGAGTCCTGTCATAGTGCACTTAATGTTGTCGTCGTTAAAATACGCCAACGTATTAGACCCAAACCACTCTCACCCTCACAACACCAACACGCTGTTTTTGCACTCTTGTAGATATGCTGTTATTTAAAACTGAAATTATGAAATAACATTTTTTAGATATAAAAGTATCATTGACTAAATAATCTATATATTACTGATTATTACAAACTTATCCATTGTGATGGTTTTATTAATAAATGTTATTTGGCTTAGTTTACCATTTGTCTGCCATTATTTTATTCGTCCATTACCAAATACATTATTACGTGCCTCAATTACAACTGTTGGATGTTTTATTTTATTGATAATTTCATGTAAAGACCTATCATTAGGCGACATGTCATCTGTATTCATGTGTACATTGTATTGGATGACTTCTATTCGTTTAATTCAATTAATGGTTTTAAATGATCAACAACGAAACAATCTTACGATAAAATATATTATTTTGAAACTTCTTTGGTTTATTTTACCTATTACACTGAATCCAAATAAGTCTAGACCTATAAGTGAATTTTTCATACATGTTGGATATCATCTTACATTGGCCTTAGTAAAAATTACAATTTGTCAGTGGATACACAACTGGTTAATCATCTGTTTAGATAGTGTTGGTGGTGGAACTGTTGTAAACGAAAGTTATTGGTTAACGCTTCAATATGTTATCATGTTTTATATTTCTATATGTACTGGTGTAGCCGTAAATGATATTGAAATCGTATTAGTATCACTTATAAGTTTAGATAAATATGAAATAGTTCCATTTAATAATTGGCCAATATTATCTTCATCACCAAGAGAATTTTGGGGTAGAAGATATAATAAAATAATTGGTAGATTTTTACATGAAACAATCTTTATACCATTACAAAAGCAAGCTAGATTATCTGTTTCAACTGCATCTATGGCAAGTTTTATAGTGAGCGGAGCATTACATGTTCATATAGATAAAGTAGTATTTAATGGATATATGATAAGAACACCAGTGTATTTTATTCTACAAGGACTAGCATGTAATTTAGAAGCATATTTTAACATGAAAAGATTGCCTCATGTCTTATGTATTGTTTTAACAAATCTTTTTATGTTGATAACATCTCCGCTTTATCCAGCCCTATTTATTTATGCAGGTCCTGCCTTTCAGCGAAATAACCCACCACTATTTAAGCCTATTTTTCAATTGCCAGTTCCGAATTATTGTCCTCGATAAAATGATCAAGAAATTTCTTTCCATCAGACTTTCAGAAAAATTTCTTAAAAGTATTTTTATATCGCGATAAAGTTGCATCAAAATACGCATAGTGGAGAAAATACGCAAATTCTCGATCATTGGTTATACTGACCTTTTTAAAATATATAAGATTTCAAGTGACAGTTACTACTTATTGTTCTACATGCTTACATTTTCTTTTTCGTTATTTGTCATTCGTTATTTACATGTTACTTATTTGTTTACCTTTTGTTTGCTTATTTGCTTCCTTCTTTACTTTCTGGTCAGTAGTAGTTTAGGTGCGATTTACTCGTTTACTTTCTGCTTTTTTGTTTGCTTGTTTGTTTATCTGTTGTATATGAACGATTAGATATGCATCAGTGCTAGTACTTATACTGGTTGACTAGTCAGTTTTTATTGGGTATGCTAACCGTTTCGTAATCAAACAATATAATAAACCCCTATTTGTTCCATTACGCAAGCATTTCTAAGGGTCGAGTCTGATACATTATAGGTAGAGAATTTAATTTTCTAAAAAATAGAAAGGCTTGTGTCATGGAAAAAATAGGAGTTTATTATATTGTTTGATCACCTACGGTTTGTATATCCGAACGATTTAGTACGCAGTTAACTGATACTGATGCATACCTATAAATGATTGGTTAAGAATTCAGGGACTAAGAGAAAAGTCTCATAAAATTCCAGATCTACATCAAGTTGAAGTTCACTTCCGGTCATTCTTTCACATGACATGACTAGAGCTAACTTCGGATTCAATTCATTGCAGATCAACTTGGCCTGAACTCACCTAAACACTCTTTCTATTGGATAGAAGATCGAAAATTATATCTATTGTTCTGTTTTTATTTGATTCATTAGTAGATATTGGTAAAAAAAGCTCGTTTTTAATTATGGAAATGATTATGAGTTTTGAAAAGTTTTAAGAATATTATTTCAAGATTCAAGATATAGACTTACTCCAACATGCTATCATTGTTCACTTTTTTATTCCCTTCCGAACAATCTATAGCACAAAAAAGTCTTAATGTAGCATTTGAAAATTACAATCAAAATACTAAAAACGTTGTGAGAGACAGCTGTTTTTCCGAGCTAGTTAGGAAGAAGGTTCATTGAAAAAAAATTTCATAACGTGGCATCACAAGACCTTGAAAACTAAAACTTTAGATTATGGGTTACTTTGTATGGCGAATCGAATGAGAACAGTTTGAAGAAAAACAAATTTTCACCATATTACGATTTATTTAGCAGATGTTCGATCTGCTGATAGAGTCTCTCTGGAAACACTAATAAAGATGGAAACTTTTTGTGTAAGCTAGTCTAGCCATTAGCTACATATTGCATCCAGCTACAAGTGAAGAAGCAAAACTTTAGCTTTGATCGATCCTTGAAAATCCTTGAAATTCACTAAATGTTCGATATCTCGAGAACACGACTCAGAAACCGAAACGTCTAGGGTTGCTCTAGTCTATTGGATCTGTACCTATGGTTAAAATATGGATTCAAACGTAGTGAATGGTTTCGTTTTAACCGGAGGGGTATGACAAAAAATAGTTGATTGAATCACCTTTTGTCGCCTGTACGATGAAGATTGGCCCAACGATCGGTGTCAAAGGCGTGAACATAAATAAGGCTTCTTGTTGGAGAAGTAACGAAAGTTTGTCGATATTCATTGAAGATAATCTCTAAAGTCACATTTTTTAAGGATCTAAATAACAATGAAACATTTTCGATGATATGGCATTCGATAGAAGACACTTGAATGTGTCTTCTGCTGGCCTGCCGTATTTTATTTGAAGAATCGAAATTACAAAAAAGCACCCTCAAGCTCTTGAAGCTAAATTAATTTATAGTTGATGAGAGATCGTGACTCAGTAAGAAGAACAATGAGTTAAGAAGGAATGCTGAGTCACATGTTTCCTTATGACAGAGTAAGAATAAACAATAATGAGATAAGAAGGAATGCTGAATCATATAAGAATAAAGAATAATGAGAACGGAATGTCTAAGCATAGAACTACGTCCTACGTGTCCTTATGACAGTATGACTACTGTCATAACACTCCCCCCGTGGCCTTAGATGAGCCAGGAGCTCATTGAACATGTACTGCTGATTGTTTATATATGATGTTCATATAAACGAGCTAATGTTGTAAGACTCTGAGCACGTTGTAGATTTTGTGATGCCGTTGATGAGTGTATATTCGGGGGCGCAGATGGCGAAAATGTAGTAGTAGGTTGTTGTGTGTGTTGTATTTGGTTGATGAATTTGCCCAGATCCATGGAAGACGTTTGTGATGCAGGTAGGTATGCACCAGTTACAGTTTTTTACCAGTTAACTGTAACTGTGAAAACTGTAACTGTCATAACAGTGTAACTGTTATAACTGTAACTGTCGTAACTGTATAACTGTAAAACTGTAACTGTCAAAACTGTAACTGCTCATAACTGTAGACAAATATTCTAGAGTGAATTAGTCTTCTACGATTTGGAGATATTTTAAGAACAGAGACATCCTTAAAATGTATACAAATCGTAGAGACTAATTCACTCTAGAATATTTGTCTACAGTTATGAGCAGTTACAGTTTTGACAGTTACAGTTATGACAGTTACAGTTTTACAGTTAACTGTAACTGGTGCATGCCTAGATGCAGGTGAGATTACTGGGGGTGTAACACGATGTTCCAATGTACGCAGAAGGCCGTCGAGTAAAGGTAGATTCGAAAGTAGTCCAGACGTATTAATTTGCTGGAGAGTATGAAGATGTTGCTGTTGTTGACGTTGACGAAAATGGCGTAGTTTACGATAACCAATATAAATACACAGAGAACAGCAGCACGCGAGGAGCAGAAACGCGATAATAAGTAGAATAGCGAGGTGACTCCAATTGTCAGAATTGAATGATAAACGATCTTTTCTGACAGAGGCAACGTGAGCATCGTGTGATGCGATAAGTGAATCAATTTTATTATTGATTTGAACATAATATTTGGATGTAGTAACTGTTGCTAAGAATAATAGAAAGTGGAAGAGGAGGGCGATGCTGGTGGACATATTGACCAAGAGTATGATATATAATAACGTTATTGAGTGAAGAGAATTATAAAAATAATAATGAGACCGATAATAATAAAAGAATAATGTGCGTGTGCAAGTGAGAAAAGAACAATGAAGAAATAGGAAAGAATGTGGAATGATGAGAAATGATACATACAAAAATGTGGTGATAAGATAGAAAAAAAATCGGTTTAGAATAATCTTTGATAAACGGGTAATAAATTATTCACGTGTGTAGTGAATGTACACACACCATCATCTAACGTGTAGTTTAATGAACTAAGCTTATGAACTATATGGTATGGGCCACGATAACGTGCATCTAGCTTTGATCGTCCAGGTAAGACCTTGAGTCACACTAAATCACCAATTTGATAAGATGGGCTATGCCTATTTTTGTCATAACGCTATTTGGTCGCAATTTGTTGCTGTTGGATATTGCGACGCGCCATTTTGTTAGCATATGTTTTGAATCGTTGGAGGTGTATCCAGTGATCATTCGGACGTGTGAATTTAAATTCGGATCGGGGAGCGTCGAATGGATTACGCGGTAGACGACCAAAGGCAAGTTGATACGGAGGAAATCCGGTAGATCGATGTTGAGTATGATTATAAGCATAAACGACGGATGATAAGTAAGCATCCCAATCAGCTTTGTCCTCATTACAGTATTTGGATAGTTGTGTAGCAAACGTGGCATTAAATCGCTCAGTTTGTCCATTCGTTTGAGGATGGTACGGTGTAGAGAACAGATGTTTGGAACCGATAAGGGAAATGAGGGCGTGGATCAATTCATTGTTAAAATGTTGTCCTTGATCGGTGATGATTTTATCGGGGGCTCCATGAATAAGGATGGCATTTTCCATCAGAATCTGGGCAGTGGTTTGAGCTGTGTTGGTTGGGGCTGCTTTCGCGATGACGTAGCCTGACAAACGATCTGTGATGACTAAAACGTATTTGTTGTCGTTTGTAGAAACAGGTGCTGGTCCCCACCAATCGAGACCTAGGACTTGAAAAACTTCAGCTGGCGGTTCAATGGATTGTAGTAAGTCAGGAGGTTTTTGTCGACGAACATTGAATTTACAGCATTGAGAGCAGGACTGAATATAGTTATGTATGGAGTCTTTCATGTTCGGCCAATAATATTTATTTTTGATGTTATGCCAAGTTCTATCGATACTAAAATGGCCAGCCATGGGATGATCATGATGCGTGAAAAGTACATCTTTAATTAAGGAACGAGGGATGTAAGGAAGTCGGAGCTTTGTTTGTCCACGTGATAACAATTTAAATAAGATACCATCTTGG